AATGTCTACTGAAAGTTAAGAGGTTTTGGAGGTTGAAACAAATTCTGCTCACCTTACTCTCATAAGTGAGTCTCTTTCACTTTGTTGGCACTGCATGTGTAAGTAAAGAGAGTTAGATTTGACAGTTATAAAAACCCTTCTTCCCACCTTCGCCCCTATTCATTGCAGTGGTGTCATTCATCTTCTAAGATCCTGTCATGTGAAAGATGATGTTCCCTCATTAATACAATTTGCAGTTCAGTCATTAATACAATATGCAATCCATAAGGATTGTCTTCATCTTCTGCCACAACTTAGTGGTAACGAAAGAAAGAAACAAACCCAAACTCCATTACAAAACAAAAATCTTTGAGTTCTTCTTCGAGTGATTGCTCATGTGTATTCCACAGTAGGTGTGCGTACTCACCACATGCACCGGTGCTGGACGTTTTTCCCTTAGCAGTACCCGTACTGGGGGAGCACTGCGGCGACCCCTGGAGTGGCACCTGTATATCGCGCTATAAGCGGAGCCACGGGCTCCCCCCACTCTCAGTTCCTTCTTGCCGCCAGTGAAGGTAGTCGGAACTTTGTGCTACAGCTCTGCTGCAGCCCTTCTTCTCGACCTTAGTGGTAGCGTTCATGGATCGTTCTTCAGTTGTTAGAGTGGACTCGGGGCATGCCCCGTGCCCCAGGCTTCAAGTCGTGTGACTCCTGTCGCTGTTCTATGCCCAGGAGCGACCCTCACACTGAGTGTCTTCGCTGCCTGGGTGAGACTCACATTAGCGACCATTGCAAGATCTGCAGGTCATTCAAGCCAAGGACCAAGAAGGAAAGAGACTTTAGACTTTGAGCTCTCCTGATGGAGTCGGCACCAGCCCAAACGCCGGTACACAGATCGGACTCGGTGCCGGCCGCCGCATCGTCGATACGTAGCGAGGCCCCTTCGACCAGTCGGCGCCGCTCTCCCTCCAGAAAGCAAAGGAAGGGCCCGGCCTTGCAACGATGCCATGATAAGTATAAGGGGGAGGCTGGTCCCGCTCTGGGCAGCACTCGGTCCCCCCCGGGCTCAAGGCCTCCAACTCGCATGGACCGGAGCAGCCCGGTACTGTTGGCTCAGGCATCCCCACTGGTATGGATGCCGTCGACACCGGAGGCAATGCAGGCTGCGAAGGACATTATGTCCCTGCCCGTCCCGAGCGCGCAACCGGGAACAGGCCCCAGGTCTCGAGGCAAGCCTCCATTGGGTGCCCACCAGACCTCTCCAACCAGCCGCAGTTCCTGCTCCGAGGATCGCACCCCACACCGCTCGGCACGCAGCGGCCGCTCGTCTGGCAGCTCCCACCCACCCTCGACTCTGGCCAGACCGTCCGGGCCACCGTCGGGTCGGGAGTTGCGGGGACCCTCTACGCCGCCTTCCAGCGAGCGTAGGCACCGAGACAGGCACCGGGAACGCTCACCTGCGAGGCGTGGGTACCGAAGCTGCTCTCGACGGGACAGACATCGTCGTTCCCATTCCAGCTCCTGCTTGACTAGATGTCACGCCTGAGGCTCCCCCCAGGGCACCTCGGCGTCAGAGCACTGGGCTTCGCATCGCCGTCATGGGTACCGAAGCAGTTCATCGGGTGGGTACTGGTCCTCGAGGTCCGGGTCCCGAGGGAGACAACGTCACAGGCACCGTTCTTACCGCTCCCGGGGCACCGAGCGTTCTTCAGCGACCTCAGCCTCGGCACCCGTCCACCCATCCTCAGTCCGTGCCGTTCAGCTGGGACACATACTGCCATCGGGCACTCAGCTGGGCCAATGGCAGGGGACCCCGTGGCAAGGACAGTGGTGCCAGTGGGCACCGTGGCCACCGGTGCCAGCCCAGATGGGGGCCCGTTCGGTCGCCGGAGAGTGCCAGGCTCCATCGGCCTCGTCCAGCCGCCCACAGGACAAGTCGGCGGGTCACGAGTCGGCAGACCCGCACACGGACTCTGATCTGGGGCTCGACGCCCCGGCACCGACCGAGGTGCTCGGCTCCGTGCGGTCCCTCTCCCCAGCACCAGACGACACCATAGCGGCGCCTCCGCCATCAGTCCCGCAGGAGGACTTCAAGGCACACCAAGACCTGCTGAAGCGGGTGGCCTTCCTTGTGGCGATCACGTCGGCCCGATGTGTCTCGGAACTCAGGGCCTTAACCTCAGAACCCCCCATACGGTTTTCCATAGGGATAAAGTCCAGCTCAGCCCACAATCGGCGTTCCTCCCGAAGGTGGTCTCCGCCTTCCATATGGAGCACAGCATCTTTCTCCCCGTGTTCTGTCCTAAGCCCCACTCCTCTAATGAGGAATGCCGCCACCTCCACACGCTCGATGTGCATAGGGCATTGGCTTTTTATCTGGATCGGACTAAGCCGTTCCGGAAATCCTCTCAACTCTTTATTGCCTCAGGCTGCCCCTTTGCCTGCTCGCCATCTCCACCCAGCGGCTTTCCCGCTGGATCATCTCGTGCATATGCACGTGCTATGATCTGGCAGGGATTCCCCCGCCACCGATCATCAGGGCACACTCTACGAGGGCTCAGGCCTCATCAGCTGCCTACGTCACCCATGTCCCCATCCAGGACATTTGTAGGGCAGCCACTTGGGCCTCAGTTCACACATTTACTTTGCATTACGCAATTGTCTCCCAGTGTAGGGATGATGCTGGGTTTTTCAGGGCAGTACTTTGTCCCGAACCATCGTGAACTCCTACCCACCTCCAACAGATATTGCTTGGAATCACCTACTGTGGCATACACAGGAGCAATCACTCGAAGAAGAAAGGACAGTTACCTGTTCCGTAACTGGCGTTCTTCGAGATGTATTGCTCATGTCTATTCCACACCCCGCCCTCCTTCCCCTCTGTCAGAGTTGTCCGGTAAGAAGAAACCGAGGGTGTGGGGAGCCTGTGGCTCCCCTTATAGTGCGATATATAGGCGCCACTCCAGGGGTCGCCGCGGTGCTCCCCCAGTACGGGTACTGCTAAGGGAAAAACTTCCGGCACAGGTGCACGTGGCAAGCACGCACACCTACTGTGGAATAGACATGAGCAACACATCTCGAAGAACGCCAGTTGTGGAACAGGTAACTGTCCTTTTCTTCTCCACCAAATACAATTAACTAAGACAGAAAATATCATATTACTTCTATATAAATCCATGGTACGCCCACATCTTGCATACTGTGTGCAAATGTGCTCACCCCATCTCAAAAAAGATATGTTGGAATTGGAAAAGGTTCAAAAAAGGGCAACAAAAATGATTAGGAATATGGAATGGCTTCCATGTGAGGAGAGATTAATAAGACTGGGACTTTTCAGCTTGGAAAAGAGACGACTAAGTGGGGATATGATAGAGGTCTATAAAATTATGACTGGTGCTGAGAAAGTAAATAAGGAAGTGTTATTTACTCCTTCTCATAACACAAGAACTAGGAATCACCAAATTAATAGGCAACAGGTTTCAAACAAACAAAAGGAAGTATTTTATCACACAATGCACAGTCAACTTGTGGAACTCTTTGCCAGAAGATGTTGTGAAGGCCAAGATTATAACAGGGTTCAAAAAAAAAAAAAAAAACTAGATAAGTTCACAGAGGATAGGTCCATCATGGCTATTGGAGATGGTGTCCCTAGTCTCTGTTTGTTTGCCAAAAGCTGGAAATGGGGAACGGGATGGATCACTTGATGATTACCTGTTCTGTTCATTCCTTCTGGGGCACCTGGCATTGGCCACTGTTGGAAAACAGGTTACTGGGCTAGATGGACCTTTGGTCTGACCCAGTATGGCCATTCTTATGTTCTTAAATCTGTTTATTCTGTGAACTATCTTTGCTGTAGTTTTAAGCTTCTTTCAAATAAAGTGTCCTTGAAACTTTATTTCTAATTTTATCTATTCATAATTCAGAATTTAAACTATTCTTCACATAGCCTCTGTATATCACCAATACCACTCAAGGCATCAGGACATGTGAACATACAGAAGCTCATCTTGAAAAATTACAGTTACTATTTTTCTTTTGTATAGTTTGTTTTTGGTAAATGTACTTCAGTATTTATCATTTGACTCACCATGATGATAGCTAACTGAATGTCATAGATTTAAATGTGATAGGGTTTATTCTTATCTCTCATGCTGATGTATATCAGGTGTAACGCCACTGAAGCTAGTTTAATTATATTGGTATAAAATAGGTGTGAGATCAGAATCAGTCCCAGCATGTTAAATGAATGCTGGCTTAAATAGTGGTTTCTTGAAATAACATTTCATCAACTGTGTGAAAAATACTTAAATTACAATGGACTAGTAATAACCCCCTCTAAAATGACTCATACTTTCATTCCATAAAAGTGATTATGAACAATGTACTTGTTTATTTCCTTGTGTAAGTTTTGAATTAAAGTACGTTACATGCACCTATTTACTGTATTTCCACAATGTAAAATTTCAAAATGATTGTATAAAATTAAGTTGAAACCAAAAGTTCATAGAAATGCTTTTCTGTTTGTTTATAGTTGTTATTACCAAACTTTTTTTGTGGTTGAAACCTAATGCTACTATGCTATAGACTCAGCATTGGCAACAACCTAGTAACTTTGCTTCAGGTCAGTTAATGGCCTTGTTATTACTCTGGGGTGTGCAACAAGAATGATACTCAACCCCTAAGAAAAGGATGTGTGGACTACCCATCTCTAAGAGCACATTCTTGTAGCTGATATATGGAGTAGAATTGACTTACCCTTATGACTGGAGGTTAAGGTACCACTGTTGGAACAACAAGAGCAGAAAGGGATATATAAGAAAAAAGCCAAAATTAAGTAAAAATAATTATTTACCTCTCACTAGATTGATCAAAAGTGATATCATTGGAAAAGACTAGTCTGAGAACCCGCCCATCCCCAGCAAAAAGGAGAAGGTCAATCTACCTATTATGTATAAATGCAGTTCACGCTGTCAGCTAGTTATCATGACTTTGCTTATTTTCTGTATATGTTTTTCTTGAAGGATTGTTCAACTTCAGAAGAATACAGCATTGCTGCTGCATTACTGCCCCTGACAACTGCATTCTACAGAGTAAGTTTTTACTGGTTTTCATTTAAGTTGATTACTGTTTTCTTATATATGTTTTCATTTATTTAGATCAGCAGTTCTAGGTCGGGACCCCAAAGTGGGTTGGGACCCTGTGTTAATGGGATTGCGAGGGCTGGCATTACTTACTGGAGCCCGGGGCCCAAGCCCGAGAAGTTCAGCTCTGGACGGCAGAGCTCAGGCTTCAGCTCCAGCACAGAGTGGCGGGGCTCAGGTTACAGGCCCCTCGCCCGGGGCTGAAGCCTTTGGCCCTCCCCCGCCTCGAGTGGAGAGGCTCGGGCAGGCTCAGGCTTTGGTCCCCCGTCCTGGGGTCATGTCATAATTTTTGTTGTCAGAAGGGGATTGTGGTGCAATGAAGTTTGAGAACCACAGATTTAGATCACTAAAAGGATGGAAGTGATGACAGGAGAAAACCTAAAAGGGAGGAAGCCTTCTGCCAAAGCCCATTGAAGTCAATAAGTGTCTTTCAGTGAACTTCAGTGGGCTGTGCATCAGGCCCAGAATGAGGGGGGATGATTGGCAATGGGGGTTCTGACTAGAGCAGAACAAATTGATTTTTCAGTTTGGCCAGCAGACTGAAAAATCAGAAAAAATATTCAGTTCATTTCCAAAAATATGTGGAATTTGTCAGCAAATCGGAAAAATCTATTTTGGGTTGTACAAAAATTTTTATTCTGGTCAGTGTCATATTTATTGCCCAGGTCTACAGTTATCCAGTGGAAACACTGTGAGACTATGGAAGTTGAAAGGATCATGATTTTCCATGTTTCAGACCTGAACAGAAAAACTAAGAAATCTGACTGTCACTTGCACAAACCAGATGTTGCTGCATAATAGAAAAAGAATTTTGTTATTCCCAGATCTAACCTTCAGGTTAAGTGACTGTCCCCGTTTTATGCCTCGTAAGACCCACATTCCTTGGCAAAAATGCAGAAGCAGTTTTTATTTTGGTTATATTTTTGATACAAAATTAAGATTTAATCTGTTTTTAAAAAATGTTGTTTAGTATGCCAGATCAGCAGGGGAGCTTTTGGAGGGTCCAAATACAGGGATTACATTTGGAGTTGGAAGATTAATAGAACTTTTAGAACATATTTCAACTTCTTTAGAGTCTTTCAAAATTTATGCTGGACTGGAACTAATAGGTCTCAACCTCTCATGGGCTGTGTATGGGCATTCTTCCTAGGAAATTGGTACCTATATATTTTTTAAACCCTCCTCATCCCCATTACTTGTTTGGTACTATTTCTGGAGAGCTGCACTGAGTCAGGCGCCTGGTGGTGATTCTCCATTTCTGACTTTGAGGAGAGGACACCATCAAATACTGTCAGGCACTGCTTCTCTTCCTAGCCATTCCTAGTGTTTGGAGCGGAGGTCAAAGCTGTATGTAGGGTTGGGACTCGGCCAAGGGTGGCACTGGAATCGAGATATGGGGACAGGTCAGGGTCAGAACCGAGATCAGAATCAGTATTGTTTCTGGAAATCTGATGCAAGCCAGGGGTCAAAGCCAGGTGATCAGAATCCAGGGACAAGCCAAGTCAGTACTGTAGCCGGGGTCCATGTACAGGCCAAAGGTCAATGCCGGATAGTCAGCGTCCAAGGAGGATCAGAAAGCAGAGGCAAGGCTGCAAGCAGGTCAGTAACAGGGCTGAAGCAAGGTCAGAGTAGGGCAAGGACAAGACTGGAATGAGCTCAGGCAAAGGCTGGGGAATAAAGAGGAACAGGATCAAGAGCAGGCTTGGAGTCTCAAGCGTCTGATGCACTGCGAGGCTGCAGGAGAGTTCCTGGTGGTATAGTGTTGTTGTACAAACTGATCTGCAGCTCTGGTGGTGTCATAAATATAGAGAGAAGGGTAGCAACTTTTATGTATGCAGTAGCATAGAATCCCTCCTTGGCAGCTGTACTGAATTGCCTTACCTGTAAGGGGTTAAACAGTTCAAATAACCTAGTTGGCACTTGACCAGAAGGACCAATGAGGAAAGAAGATACTTTCAAATCTGGGGGGGGGGGGGGGGGGGGGGAAGAATTTGTTTGTTTGTTCTCTTTTGTTGTTCCCTCTCCCGACGGAGGGAGAAGCCAAGCAGATACAACATCTAAAAATATACCTGGAATAATCCATCTAAAATAGGGTTACCATATTCAAACATTTAAAAAAGAGGACACTCTACGGGGCCCGGTCCTGCTCCAACTCCGCCCCTTCCCCGGCCCCGGCCCCCCCCAACTCTGCCCATTCCCCACCCCCCCTCCCACCCCTTCCCCAAAGTCCCTGCCCCAACTCTGCCCCCTCATCTGAGCACCCCACATTCCCCCTCCTCCCTCCCGCTCTGATCTTGGTTGGGGGTTGCTAAGTGCTTCCCTGCTCCCCACTCACCCTGCAGCCCCTGCACCCCCCCCTCCTGCAGCCTCTGTGCCCCCTGCTCCCCACTGGCCCTGCATCCCCTGCACCCCTCTGCCCCTGCAGCCTCTGCGCCCCCCACCTGCCCTGCCCCTGCGCCCCCTTGCCCCTGCAGCCTCTATGCCCCTGCCTGCCCTGCTCCTCCTCGCCCTGCAGCCTCTGCACCTCACCGCCTGCCCTGCCCCTGCGCCCGCCTGCACCTGCCTGCCCTGCTCCTCCTCGCCCTGCAGCCCCTGCACCCCCCGTCCCTGCAGCCTCTGTGCCCCCTGCTCCCCACTCACCCTGCACCCCCCCGCCCCTGCAGCCTCTGCACCCCCCCGCCTGCCCTGCTCCCCCGGCAGCCTCTGCCTGGTGGGGGCTTCGGATGCTCAGCGGCGATCGGGGCAGCGCGGGTCCCCGCAGCCCCGGCACACGCCGCACTCCCTGCCCCGCGCCGCAGGAAGGGTCCCCCAGTGGCCGGGGAGTCCCCGCCCGTGAGGGAAGCCCGAGCCGTTGGCTGGGCCCGGCCTCCCCATGGTCCTGCGGGCTCGGCTGGGGCGCGCGGTCCGCCCGGCCTCCGGGGGCAGCAGTGGCCCCTTTGCCGCCTTCTGCGGCTGCGCCCCCCCTTCCCACGCCCGAGCTCGCTACAATGTAGCTGGGCGGCTGGGCTGCGCTGCGGACCCGGTGGGTCGTGCTGGGGCCAGGCGGACCCTGGCTTATGCTGCCTCCCTATTTCCCCGGACATGTCCGGCTTTTTGGCAGTTCCCCCCGGACGGGGATTTGAGTACCAAAAAGCCGGACATGTCCGGGGAAATCCGGACGTATGGTAACCCTAATCTAAAACCACAAAAATTGTAAGTAGGGCAAGAAAATGTGTTTTGGCTTGTGTACATTTTTCCTATGCTACAGAGGTAGTTTTACTCCAGTTTTTGTGACTGTAAAGCTGATCCCAGAGGGGAATCCTCTGTGTTTTAAATCTTTTATTACCCTGTAAAGTTACCTTCCATCCTGATTTTGCAGGTGTGATTCTTTTACTTTTTTTCTTTTAAATAAAGTTCTTTTTTTTTTTAAGAACCTGATTGATTTCAGTGTCCTGAAGACAAAGGGTCTGGTCTGTGCTCACATTGCTATGGCAATTGGTTGGTATATTATTCTCAAGCCTCCCCATTAAAGGGGGCGAAGGGGCTTGGAGGGATAATTTGGAGGGGATAGGGATTCCAAGTGACCCTTCCCTGAAAATTTTGTGTAAATCACTTGGTGGTGGCAGCAATACCAGTCCAAGGACAAGGAAAGGAATTTGTTCCTTGGGGAAGTTTTAACCTAAGCTGGTAGAATATAAGCTTAGGGGGTCTTTCATGAGGGTCCCCACATCTGGACCCCAGAGTTCAGAGTGGGGGGGGGGGAAACCCTGACAGGCAGAGTTTGGGAAATACCTAGGAGTGGGGGTCATCTGACTCACGCTGTACGACAGGATAGGCTGCTTCTGCATGCCTAACGGCTGTCATTACAGGCTCTGTAGGAAGAGTAAATTAGTGCAGCTGAGGTATTGCTGCGTGCTTGAGTGATGACTCCCCACAGCTCTGTTGGAGGGGCAGGTGAGCAAGCAGCCCTGGTTTGGCTGCAGGTTTGCCTCACAAATACTGCTGCTCATCCTTTTTCCTGTCAAGGACCTCATAGCTTATTGGATGGTAGGCTGAAAAATTCTATCCTCTCTTCATCTGGGCTTCCCTTTATAGTGGCCCTAGCTAGAAGAATAAAAGCTTTCCATATTCTCACTAGACATGTTGCTATCTGTGATCAGCACAAAGGGACATACAAAATTCAAACTAAGCTAGGGGAAATTGTTTAGGGGATCTTTTTTTTTTATTAAAATGTATCCTGGCACACACACACTAGATTTGTTACTAAAACCAAATATATGTCATGGCTTTTCTTGCTATATTGCTTATCACTGTTATTAACGATTCTTATAGGATAGATTTTTTTTCTCATTATCTTATTTCTCTTCAGGAAAAACCAGTATAGAGGCCATTGGCATTCTAATTCTGTTGCACACATTTTGCTGAAAATCCATACCCTGAACTGAACGTTCACTGTTTACCGTTAAGAACTATAACTATTTTACATTTTCCATAAATGAAGTTATAGTAGTGCATGTAATTATTTACTTCTTTTAATAATGTTTTGTTATCACTCCTCAGTATAAAATGTAATAAGTATTTTAAATACACTTTGAAATTGTCCATCCAAGCAGCACAATCTTAATGATAGTTGAAGAATCTGAGGCCAGGAGTAAACAGGAATCTTAGATTTATTAAGGGTATCTGTTGTACTTTATGCCATGTTCCAGAGGTACCCTTTTGTGTCTCATGTGCAATTTTTACTAGTTCACAAAGAGGCTGGATCCCAAAAGAACTACCAGTGAGACAATCCCTACAATAAATCTAGAGATGCTGTAAAATTTAATTCAAAAACATGAAATTTACAAAACTGCTAAATATCTTCTCAGTCTTATAACTAAAACTCAAATGTACCAGTTTAATATCTGATTTATCCCTGGATCTGGAGACCATAATACCAGTATATCCTGAAATTGCAGTGGTATGGAATT